AGGAGTTATGCAGCCACTGTTTCAACAATGTTTTTCAGCATGTCCTTTGAGTAGTGCTTAAGACTTCTTTCTGGGGCACACATTCAGATCTATAGCATGAGAAGAGGGGTTCTGTGTTGAATTAACTAGAGTTACTGCTAATGCTGAAATGAGCCTCAGGAGAAGGCAACTGAAAGCTTTGGGGAAATGAGTCAATAGTCTGTTTTCTACTTTTCTGCATGCAGACTTTTAATTAATTAATTAATTTATTGCCATTATCATATTCAGATGCTCCTCAACTTTGGGGCTATGTCTCGATAAATCCATTGTAAAGTCAAAAAATAAGTTAATGGCCGGGCGCGGTGGCTCACGCCTGTAATCCTAGCTCTCTGGGAGGCCGAGGCGGGCGGATTGCTCAAGGTCAGGTGTTCGAAACCAGCCTGAGCAAGAGTGAGACCCCGTCTCTACTATAAATAGAAAGAAATTAATTGGCCAAATAATATATATAGAAAAAATTAGCCGGGCATGGTGGCGCATGCCTGTAGTCCCAGCTACTCGGGAGGCTGAGGCAGAAGGATCACTTGAGCCCAGGAGTTTGAGGTTGCTGTGAGCTAGGCTGATGCCATGGCACTCATTCTAGCCTGGGCAACAAAGTGAGACTCTGTCTCAAAAAAAAAAAAAAAAAAATAAGTCAACCATTGTAAATTGGCGACCATGTCTGTATTACTTATTTAATTATTCAACAGTGGTCTTTGAGTACCTAGTTATCATTATCATCATCATACTTACTCCCATCGCTGGGGGTTTGTCTGATCTAGATATCCATGTGACTTTTTCCTTCAGTTCCTTCAGCTCTTCATGTGTCACCTTTATAATGAGATCTTTCCTAGACACCTTTCTAAAACTGCAACCCTAGCCCTTACCCCCACACTTGCGGTCTTGTTTGTCTATGTTTTGGGGGTTGTTTTGTTTTGTTGTAGAGATGGGTCTTGCTGTGTTGCCTAGGCTGGAGTGCGGCAGCTGTTCACAGGCGTGATCGCGGGGTACTGTAGCCTTGAACTCCTGGCCTTAAGCGGTCCTCCTGCCTCAGCCTCTGAGTGGCTGGGACTGCAGGCGTGCACCATTGCTTCTGGCTTCGTCTTTGTTTTTTCTCCTTAGTACTTATCAATATCTGTGGTTGCGGCTCCCAAAGATTCTAACCTTCTAGTATTCACATTCTTGTGTAGTCCACTGCCACATTGAATAGGGCTGACCTATATAACTGTGATGGTTAATTTTATGACATGATTTCTGAAGGTGATGTGAGGGTGTCTCTGGAAGAGATTAGCATTTGAATCAGTAAGGCTGAGTAAAGAAGATCCGCCATCATCAGTGTGACTGGATGTTATCCAGTCGGTTGAGGGCCTGGATAGAACGACAAGGCTGAGGAAGGGTGAATTCCCTCTCTCTCCTTGAGCAGAGACATCCATCTGCTCCTGCCCTGGGACATCAGAGCCCCTGGTTCTCTGGCCTTCAGACTCTGGGATTTCCACCGGCGCTTCCCTGCCACCGGTTCTCAGGCCTCTGTGCCCAGACTGATTACACCGCCAGTTTTCCTGGTTCTCCAGCTTGCAGAGGGCAGATTGTGCGACTGCTCAGCCTTCATAACCGTGCGAGCCAATTCCTATAATAAATCAGCCCTCCCCTGCCCGCTCTCTCTCCTATTGCTTCTGTTTCTCTGTAGAACCCTAACACAATAACTAATAGGGCACTGTGGAATAACGGAGTGTGACAATCAAGGCTGGGTTATAAAAGGCATTGTATTTCTGCCTCAAAGGAGAACAGTCCTGTGAATCACTCACTCTGGGGGAAGCCACTAACAATGTCATGAAGACCCTCGGGCACCTGTGTTGGAGGAGTCTACCTGGTGAGGAAGTGAGGTGTCCCGCCCACAGCCAGCGCCAACTCGCCATCCATATGAGTGAGCCTTCTTGAGGCTGACCCTCCAGCCCCAGTTCAGTTTTCAGAGGGTTGCAGCCCTAGCCAGCATCTTGACTGCAACTTCATTAGAGACCACAAGCCAGAATCACCCAGATGAGCACCTGCTTCTGAATTCCTAACCCAGAGAAACCGTGTGAGATAATAAATGTTTCTTCTGTTACGCTGCTAATTTGTTACACAGCAATAGATCACTAATACACCATCTAACATTATTTTACTTATTTATCTTGCTTTTGTATGTCTGCCTCAATTAGAATATAAGCTTTAGAAAGGCAGGAATTTTTTTCCTTTTTGTTCACTGTGGAATCCCGAGCACCTAGAATTTTCTCACAATAACCCCCTCAGTTAGGTAGTGTTATCATTCTCATTTTACAAATAAGGAAATTGGGGCATAGTAAAGTTAAGTAACATACCTAAGATCATGTAATCAGAGCCAGACTTTTCTCCACAGCCTAATGTGCTTAACCAGAGCCCTGCCCTGCCCCGCTTCTATGCATGCCATCCTGTGTTACGTTTGAGACAGTGGGATAAAAAAAAGACAGTGGGACAGTTATGGAGAGAATACAGTTAAATTTAAGACATGGTCTCTGCTGTAATGCTGTTAACAATCCATTTGAGAAAATAGGATGTATATCAGATAACCCACATACAGAGCAGGATATAGGTAGGCCATCAAAGGCTAACATAGCCCCTTTTCCAAAGAAAAATGACTACCCATAGTTCTTATTAAGATATGCCTAGGTCCCTATGGTTTATACCATATTATGCTCAATATCCTAGCCACAACTAATTGAAATAAGGATAATTTCCTAAATCAAAAGCTAACTAAGCTAAGCAGCAGCCCAAAATGGGAACTGGTATAAGAACTCTAAGCCCATTTGACTACTGAGATAGTATCCTCAGCTTTCTTATTAGCCATGCATCCTCACGATAAATCCCTATCATCTGGGGTAACCTGATCATGTCTTTAGTCCATGTAACCAGAAAATCCCTCTCACTCAGAGTGCAGTAAAAAGTCCTATAGAAGTTCAGAAGAGTCAGAAGTTACAGGAAGATAAGGGATGGACACTTCATGGAGAATTGACACATGACCTGCCACTGAAATAAGAAGATACGTATAATTTGTGGTTTAGAAATCAGAGATCATTTTAATTTGTGAAGTATAAGAACTACAAGTGTACAAAGAAGTAATTTGGAAATTTTACTTGACTTGGGTAATGATTATATTTTTGTGTACTTATTTAGACATGCTTTATTTCATATAAACAATATTTCAAAAATTATTCTCTTTTATGTATTCTTGAGTTATTTGTAGTCAATAGAAAACACTATCTGTAGCTTTGACTAGAAATAATACAAGAGAATATTTATCAACTTGTAGCTCAAGAATTTCCAATGATTTATAAAAATGTTTGGGTGTTAAAAAGTGTGGTGGTGATGGAATCTGTTTCCATTTCAGTTTTTTTTTTTTTTTTTATTTCCTAAGGCAAAATAAAAAGAGTACCAAAAAGAATCAGAAGAAAGTAAGGGGGGTGGGGGAGAGAAGAAGAGGAATAATCAAAGCTTGCAATCTAGAGTGTTTACCCTTATAATTTTCAATTAGAGTTTCATTCTGGAAATGACTACATGTTTTCTGCCTTTATATCCTAGTTCACTCACTCAGCAACTATTAATGGAGTCTTTACTAGGTGATTGTCATTGTTTTTTATGTATTCCCTCTGCCTGGACTTTCTTTTTATTTTTCCTTTTCTGCATAGCAAACTCCTATTTATCCTGTGTGATATAACTCAAATATTGTTTACTTATAAAGGATGGAATTCTGCTTCTGGCTATAATGGAGTGAGAGACTAACACTCCCAGTGAGAACAACTAGAAAATCTAGATAAAATTCCATAAGAATCATGTTTGCAGGCATCAGAGAGCTGCTAAGGCAGTTTGCTGAGGTGAGCCCAACATTGTGTGTGTTGCTTTTCTCCTTAAGACAGTTGCCAAAACTTAAACAGCTAAAAGCAGAGCAAAGTTTATGGCAGTCTCATGGTGTTAAGGAAACTAAAAATTTGAGTTTTAACTCACCAAAGAGGAGGAGACTCTAGTTAATATCCAAGCTTTCAACTGGGATCCATAGGCATTGGGCTTCACAAAGACTATAATACCTCCTCAGGTTGATTTAACCCCTGATTGGATTAAGGTGGATATAGCTGTTCTAGCTTCCAATCAGAGTTCTTTCTAGAAGAGGATAACATCATTTAGAGGTGCTACAACTTTTCTTACACGGGAATTTGATAACAACACTACCAGGCAGAACGAAAAACAGGCCCAAGGGAGTTTAGGAGTCAGGAGGAGAAGCAGAGAACAGACTAATAGGTGACCCAGAAATTAGAGTTATCCGAAATGGACTTTAAAATAACTGTGATAGGTTCAGCAATATAGACAATAAGATTGAGAATTTCACCAGAGACTGAGAATCTATAAAAATATAAACAAATGGAAATTTTATAACTGAAAAGCCACTGACACTATGAACTTAATAGATGGGTTTAACAGCATCAAGAACTGAAATTACCCCTACCGTCGGAGCCGTTTCAACTGCAGAGTACATTAGTAAACCAGAAGGAACAAGATTATGGTATGGAGAGCCAAGAATATTAACAATAGGGAAAAGGGCAAAAGGGATATATAGAACATGGTGAAAAGTCTGATATATATGTAATTTTGAGTCCCCAAAAGGGAGGAGAGAGAATGGAGCAGAAGTATCATTTGAAGTGATAATGACCAAGAACTTTTCAAAAGTTACCCACAAGAAAAGAAGTGCATTGAATTACAAAACAGTAATAAAACAATAAAGGAAGTGAAGTGGATCAAATTGAAATATTATATGATCCTAGCATTATCTAGGAAATGGTAAAAGTGCTAATTTATTTTAGGCACTAATAAATCAACGTTGTGTATTGTGATTTTCAGGGTACCCCCACAGAAAAAAATTAAAGAACATATACTTAACAAGTAAAAAGAAAATATAAAAATGTTTAATAAAGACAACAAAGGAGGCTCTCTGGTCCTCCCGTTCGACAGATAGCCGCATCTTCTCAGGCAGCGCCAGCACCATCTCCCAGACACCATGGTGAAAGTGAAGGCCGGAATAAACGGCTTTGGCCGTATTGGGCGCCTGGTCACCAGGGCTGCTTTTAACTCTGGCAAAGTGGATATTGTCGCCATCAACGACCCCTTCATTGACCTCAACTACGTGGTCTACATGTTCCAGTATGACTCCACCCATGGCAAGTTCCATGGCACAGTCAAGGCGGAGAACGGGAAGCTTGTCATCAATGGCCAGCCCATAACCATCTTCCAGGAGCGAGATCCCACCAAAATCAAATGGGGTGAAGCGAACGCTGATTACGTCGTGGAGTCCACTGGCGTCTTCACTACCCTGGAGAAGGCTGGGGCTCACCTAGATGGGGGTGCCAAAAGGATCATCATCTCTGCCCTCTCTGCTGACACCCCCATGTTTGTGATGGGCGTGAACCACGACGAGTACCAAAACAACCTCACCATTGTCAGCAATGCCTCCTGCACCACCAACTGCTTAGCCCCCCTGGCCAAGGTCATCCATGACAACTTTGGCATCGTGGAGGGACTCATGACCACAGTCCTCCTCACGACGCAGTTTCCATGCCAGAGCCCCTGAAGAATGGGAGGGGCCTAGGGAGCCCCACCTTGTCATGTACCATCAATAAAGTTCACTGTACTAGGCCAAAAAAAAAAAAGACAACAAAGGAGAAAAAAGGAACATAAAACAAGTAGGACAAATAGAAAACAAATAGATGGCAGATATAAACTCAGATTCATCAGAAACTACATTAAATATTAGTGGAACCATTCAATATTAATATTAAAGGACAAAGATTATCAAACTAGATTTTTTTTAAAAAACCTACTTGCTGGTTGTAAAAATTATAACCATTTTGAAAAAGTGTTTGACAGTATCCGCCAAAGCTGGACACACGCACACACGATGGCCTAGCAATCAATTTCTAGAAATATACCCACAAAAAGCATGCATAGAATGTTCACAGCAGCATTACATGTAATGTTTACAAATTTGAAACACCACAAATACTCAAGAACAGAAGAATGGATAAATTCTTATAATACTATATAGCAATGAGAAAGAACAACCTACAGACACACTACAATATGAATGAATCTCATAAATGTAATGTTTATCCAAAGAAGCCAGACACAAAACAGTACATCATGTATGATTCCATTACTATAAAATTCTAAAACAGGCAAAAGTAATCTAAGGTGTTAGAAGTTAGGATAGTGATTACCTTTGGAAGGGAGTAGTGAACAAAAGGGGTTAGTGTTCTGTTTCTTCACTTTGCCGATGATTATATGGGTATGTTTACTTTATGAAAATTCACAAACCTCTATATTTAGGACTTGTGTGCATTGTATGTGTGTTGTATTTCAATAAAAAGTGTACTTTTTAAAAAGTGTGCCATGAAAGGTATTAGAATTGGCAGCAAGGTCAATTCAGTTATATTTTAGGATTTAAAAAACTTCACATGCTTTAAAAAGGAAAGGAACCCACAGGAAGGGGAGTATCTGAAGGTGCTGAAGAGATAAATTAAGCTATTTAAGGATGATGAAGAAGATTCATTCATTCAGCTAAATATTTAAGACTGTATTATAGCCCAAGAGCTATGGGGTGTTAGAGATCCAAAAATTAATAAGGCTCAGTCTCTATTTTCAAAGTGGTCGCTGTCTAGGGGGGAAAGTTAAAAGTCTCACCACCAAGGTAAAAACCCAAGTCTGTCTAACTTTAAAGCACGTTCCTCTGGTACTTTACACCGCTGTCAGATAGCGGCTTAGGAGAGAAAGAACTGTGTGGTGAAACAGCATGCAGGAGTCAAAATAAATTCCAGTGGTGCTGTCTTGGAGAAGGTGGTGCAGCTAGATGGCCTGGACTTCAAAGGATGAGCAGACACAAAATAATGTTTGATGGCCTGGAAGTGGATTTGAAAAAAATAAAAGCCTTTCCTGTGAGTAAAGACAAGACTTTCAAAGAAGGCAACTGAAGTGTATAATGGACTTGAGATGGCTGAGTGCTATTTCTCAGGAAAAGGATCTAAGGGTCTAGCTGTGCCAAATACAGACTTTCAACCAAGTGCCTTGTTTTGAGGTCTTGTGAACCCTCCTCCTTAAAGAGGTTTCTGGCATCTCCAATCCCTGAATCTTCCTAAACTTCCTTCCTGTGTAAATCTTGGGATCATACTGTACATATAATCTTACAGCCAGATTTTTTTACTTAATGTTTCATAATGAGCATTTTTCCACAAATGGAAAAGTGCTTATTGCTAAAATATCCCTATTCAACTATCTTTAAGCCACGATAGTGGGATAGTTCTAGATTCCTGCCAGAGTTTAAGCCAAAGTAGTCACACATGTAATTCACATGCTTATAAAACAGCAGGAAGGAAAAAAACTTGCATATAAAATAAATTGTGTCTTGGGACATCTACCCTTATCCCAGCACATCTTGGATGGTTTAACTACTAAAAGTGACAGCATGAGGCCAGAGAAAGCTCACATCTCAACACATTGGAATCATTTTAAGTAGCCTGTTACATTACTTAGAGTATTAGTGCAGGTGCAGTCACAGGGACCTCAATTAGCAGTGGCATAACAAGCTAGACGTTTTGCTCTTTCACTACAATCTGAGTGACAGCTCCACCTAGGATCCTTCCATCCTGTTGCTCTGTTATTCCTAGGGTGTTTCCACTGGCCACAGGATTAAAGATGGCTAATACAATTTAGCCAGCGGGAAAGCAGAAATACAGTACAGGAAGCACAACTCTTCCTTTTAAAGGCTAGACCTGTATGTTGAGCATTTCACTTCTGGATAATGAGGTATGAGAAGACTGGAAATAATCTCGCTTGGTGGCCATGTGCTCTGTGGTATATAAGAAACTGAGGTCAGTACTGGGGACAGCTATGGTCTCTGCCACATTCTAAGTTTAGTAAAACCGAGAGTGTTGAATTAATTTAGATTAATGTAGCTGATTGGTAAATTATGATCTTTGTAGTAGCGCATGTTTCTACTTGTTTATATGAAAAATGTAACATATACCAAACTTAAAAATAAAACCTATATATATTTTACCTATGTAGACAATATCACTAAGACTTTACCTATATACACCTAAAAGAATGTGGAAGCTTAATGCTTTGTATTCCTATATTCACTGGAATTAAGTAAAATCCTCTTCTCCTTTTTCTATTTTGGCCAGTGAAATCAAGCTCTTACGTTCTTACTTTTGCTTATAATGCTAACTAATGAGATTCTAGCCGAGGCTTAAAAATGCGTATCTTCATAATGAACCAAAAGAGACCAAGGTAGAGATGAGGGAGATGCCCCTCTACTCAACAGCAACAGAGGAAGAGATATGGTTCTATTTTCATAGAATTAGTTCAAAGACTGCTTTGATGAAGTGTTAAATTAAGAACATTCATAAGAACTTCAATCTTGTTTTCCTGTGCAACGTGAAAACTTGTCTGAATATTCATAATCTAGCAACTTGGTCTTTGTTCTCGGAGGTATAATTTGAACAAGAGGGCCTTGTAAAAACTCTTAAGACTTTTGAGATTGTTATTATAAACTGCAAAGATAACCTTCAAAGAGAAGTCTATAATTCTGATTGGTTGTCTTCCTTGATAGTTTGTTGCCTTGGTAATAATGCTATAATTTGCATATCTGAATTCCTAAACAACTTCAAGACTTGTAACTTTGCTCTGTCAAATCAGAAGAGAATCACTGGCACATTTATCTTTTCCTACATGTAAAATGGAGAGAAACAAATTCCTACTACACTGATTTCTTATTTTAACAAAGATTTAATAAGGGAAATTGCCTTTTTGTGCATGTGAAAATTTAATATCTAATTTCCTTATTTTCAGGAATTCATGTAATTCTTATTCTTAAGTTACTGAATGTGTTTTTTCTTTTTCCACAGACTGTCCTTCATCCACCTGGGTTCAGTTCCAGGGCAGTTGTTACATTTTTCTCCAAGAAGCTATCAAAGTAGAAGGCATAGAGGATGTCAGAAATCAGTGTACTGACCGTGGTAAGGAGCTTATTCTTTTTGTGTGTGTGTTTTTACAAATAAGTAAATAGTGTTCACTAATTTCTTTTAAAAAATAATTTCGTTGTATCTCACTTTTAACTGCGTAGTTAGAATTAATATACAGCTTTTATTCTACAACACACAAGCCACAGGCAGTGAAATTGAGTGTACACTTAATCCTGAAGTTGGAAGACAGTTGTTGGACAATATTGTCCAAAAGAGAGTGACAGAAGCTTAGCAACATTAGTGTCTATTTAATGTGCATACCCTGTGCCAGGCACTGTGCTTCAGCACATCATATACTTTATTTATTTATTTAAAGACAGACTCTCACTCTGTTCCCTTGGCTAGAGTGCCATGGCATCAGCCTAGCTCACAGCAACCTCAAACTCCCGAGCTCAAGCGATCCTTCTGCCTCAGCCTCCCACGTAGCTGAGACTACAGGCATGTGCCACCATGCCCAGCTAATTTTTTCTTTATATATTTTTAGTTGGCCAATTAATTTCTTTCTATTTTTGGTAGAGACGGCGTCTCGCTCTTGCTCAGGCCGGTTTCAGACTCCTGACCTTGGGCGATTCTCGTGCCTCAGCCTCCCAGAGTGCTAGGAGTACAGGCGTGAGCCACCATGCCTGGCCACATCATATACTTTACTTGGCTTTAATTATCATAACAAACCCATCAAAGTAGTTTATTATTATCTTCCTTTATCAAGAGAAGAAATTAAATTCAGTTATTGGTTCAAGGCCACACAAGTAATAATTGGCAGAGCCAGGATTCAAATCTAGGACTGTTGGATTTTAGGCTTAGAGTTCTTAATCACTTTGTTATTCTGCCCTGAAAGCGCTATTTTAGGCATGCAGTGTGGGCAGAAATCAGACTGCATAGGACGTTGAAGTGAGACTATGGTAAAGAAGGGTACATTAAGGAAAAACGATAAAAAAGGCTATTTGGAAACCCCCAAACTATGAACATCTATTATGCATCAATAAAAAATAGTAAACAAAACAAAAAACCCAGCATGGTACTGACATAAAAACAGACACATTGACTAGTGGGACAGAATAGAGAGCCCAGAAATAAATTCACACATTTACAGTCAATTGATTTTTGATAAAGATGCCAAGAATGCACAATGGGAAAAGGACAGTCTCTTTAATAATGGTACTGAGAAAATTGGATATCCACATGTAGAAGAATGAAATTGGACCTTTATCTCATATCAGATATAAAAATCAACTCGAAATGGAATAAAGACAAGCATAAGACACTAACCTATAAAACTACTAGAAGAAAATATAGAGGAAAAGCTCCATGACATTGGTCTAGGCAATGATTATTTGGGTATGACTCCAAAAGCATGGGTAACAAAAGCAAAAAGAGACAAATGGAATTGTACCAAACTACAAAGCTTCTGTACGGCAAAGAACACAGTCAACAAAATGAATAGACATCCTATGAAATGGGAGAAAGTATTTGCAAATTATACAGCTGTTAAGGGATTCATATCCAAAATATATAAGAACTCATCACAATAGCAAGAAAACAAATAAACTGATTAAAAATGGGCAAACGACTTGAATTTCTCAAAGGAAGACATACAGATGGCCAATAGGTATATGAAAAATGCTTAACATCAC